ACTGGTGGGTGAGAGCAGCTCAGCTAGGACCACACATACTGGGATAAACACCTTCAACTGGAAGCCAGGACACCTGGGTTCCCTGGGAGAGAAGTGAGGCCTGGTGTCTTAGAGCAGGGAGAGCTGGGAGTCCAGACACCTGGGTTATTTGGGAGAGGATTGGGGCTGGGAGCCAGGACACCCGAATCCTATCCCCAGCCCAGAAATCAATAGGCTGTAACAGATCGGAGAACCAGAAATTGAAAGCCCGGATGCCTGGATTCTCCAGGTAGGGCCTGGTAGGGGAGAACAGCTGTGTCTGGGAGCTCAGATGCCTAGGTTCTCCCCGACCCTGCTGCAGGAGGGGAACCTGGGCAGTTTCCCCCAGCCCCGTACCTTGTGCAGCCTCTTGACAAGGCTTTCGTTGTACTCCTGGCTCCCCTCAATCATGCCCGTCAGCGGGTTGGAGAACCACTCCTTGAACTCCCGGTGGGACTGGAAGACGTGGGGCATGAGGAAGTGCATGAGGGACCACAGCTCCATGAGGCTGTTCTGCAGGGGCGTTCCTGTCAGGAGCAGGCGCCGCTGGCTGTGGAGGACATCAAGGGATCAGTGCCGGGGTCCATGACCCTCCCCCAACCTCCCCAGGTGAAGGGCACCCACCTGTTGAAGTTGAGGAGAGACTGCCAGCGCTGGGACTTGAAGTTCTTGATGTTCTGGGCCTCATCCAGGATGAGGTACTTCCAGTTCTTGCGCCGGAAGGCCTGGTGGTCCTGCAGCACCAGCTTGTAGGACGTGATACAGATGTGGAAGGCGTTGGGCTTGGTCCAGCCCTGGGGAGACAGGCAAGGGCGGGGGGGAAGAGTGTATAGCTCTGCGCACTACCAGGAGAGACCCAGCCACTGGGCTGGGGTGGAAGCTGGTGCTCCCTGGAGGGAGGTTCCCCCAGAGCATGGGTGGCCAGCCAAGAGCATGCATGCCATACATGGTATAGACAGTGTGTGACTGAGTGGCATGTGCCAAAGTAGAAAGGAAGCAGGGAACACAGTGGAAGATAGAGCAAGGAGCAGAAAGCAGACAAGACAGAGTACAGACAGCAGAGTAGCATATCAGGTAGGGAGCACAAAGCAGAGGACCAGGAACTCAGGACAAGGGTCAGAGAGCAGAAAACAAAGTGACTGACTGGGCAGAGCACGTAGGGAGCAGAAAGAGACAAGAATGCAGAAAACAGAGTAATGTACTAGGCCAGGAAGACAGAATGGGGCGGGGGGAAGCAGAGCAACAGATGAAGCCAAAAAACATGGAGTAAGGAACAAAAAAACCCCAGAACAATGGGTGAAGCCAGGGACATAGGGCAGGGAGCAGAAAGCAGAGAAGCAAACAGGGCCAAGAACAGTGAAGAGGGAGCAGAAAACAAAGCAATGGTTCAGACCAAGGACACAGGGTAGAAAACAAAAAGCAGAACAGATGTGGCTGGGAACATAAAGGTAGGAAGCAGTGCAGGTAGGGAGTAGAAAACAGTAATGGCCCAGAAAGCAGAGCAGCAAAGGGCAGGGAGCAGAAAGCAGAGAGCTGGACATGAGATGGAGCAGGAGGCACAGAGCTGAGCAGCTGGCCTGGCTGAGAACACATGGCAGGGAGCAGAAAACAAAGCAGTGGATCAGACACAGGAAGAGGATGGGGCAGCACCAGAGAAGGGTATGGAGCTTACCCTGTGCCCCACCCTAACTCAAGGGAGAAAGAACCCTGCCCTGGGGCTGGCGCCGCCTGGTGGGGGGGAGGAGCTGGCCAGGGGGGCCCCCTCACCTGCCGCTTGAGCTTGCGCTCCTTCTGCGCCCCGTAGTAGGTGAGGATCTTGAAGCTGGGGCACCAGCGCTTGATCTCCATCTCCCAGTTCAGCATGACACTGGTGGGCACGATGATGAGGTGGGGACCCCAGCTCCCTGCAGGGGAGACATCACACATGGGTCAGTACCGACCCTGAACGAGAGGTGGGGGTCCCAGAGCCTCCCCAGCACACTCCCACCACAACCCAGGGGACCCCATGGCCTGTCCTGCCCCTCTCCCCTCTCCAGCTTTAAGTGACAGACACGTACACAGCCCCTGGCACAGCCTGGGGGAAGAACAGATACAACTCTCCTGGATCCTCTAGCGCTACCCCACAGGACCAGTCCAGCTGCAGCGACTGGGGACAGCACGGAGCTAAGGACTGTGGGATGCTAGAAGATCCAGGAGCCTCCCATCACACTCTGCGTGGATGTACTGAGAAGCCCAAGACAAGAAGTGCTGGTGTGGAGGCCTCTGAGTGGCCCCTCTTGCTTCACTCCAGAGCTGGCCGTAACCCGAGACCTTCCTGGGCAGTGTTATGTGCCGCCATTCTTCCTCTCTTCTGCTCCACCCCAGAGCTGGCTGCACCTGAGCCCATCCTTGCAATGCTATATGTAGCTACTTTTCAAGCCCTCCTGTTCCACAGCCTGTGTGCCCAACCCAAGGCCTCACCCTTCTCGCAGGCCAGGTGAGCCAGCAGGGAGATGGTTTGAATGGTCTTGCCCAGTCCCATCTCATCGGCCAGGATGCCGTTGAGCTTCTTCTCGTACATGGTGACCAGCCAGTCTAGGCCAATGTGCTGGTACTCCCGCAGCGTGCCCCGCAGCAGGCAAGGAATGGGCGTCTTCACCTGGGCCATGGCAGGGGAAGCAGGTTACAGTCTGGAGGTCTGCTCCCCACAGGGTGTGCGGGCCTCAGGGCTCCCCTGGTGCCACATTCCACCCCAGAGCTGGCTACATGGACCAGAGGGGACAGGGGGGAATGGCCCAGGAGGCGGAATTGAAGGTATACCTGGGTGGTGGCCAGGGTGTAGCCCTTAGGCTGGAGGCTCTCAGCCGTGGCAGCGATGTCAGTGATCTCCTTCTTGGGCCCCAGGGTGGAGGGGGGGCCGGCAGGGTCAGCCCCCTGCCCGCCCCGCTCCTCATCACCCCGCAACAGGTACTCCACGCCAAAGTCTTCCTCCGGGCCAGCCTGCCCCTCCTCTGGGGCGGCCGCCACCTCCTCTTCCTCCTCCTCTTCCTCACTCTCCTCCTCCTCGCTCTCCTCTGCCGGCGAGTCTAAGGGTGGGGTGGGACCAGCCGGTGTCAGGGAAGTGCCCAGACCTTGTATGCCCCCGCCCTGCCCCAAGTCTTGGGCCTTGGCAGGCTGTCATCTCTTCAAATGGGTCTGTCTAGTCCTGGTCCCCCCATATGAGTCCTTCCAGCCCCAACTCTGACCCCTGGCAACAAAAGGGTCTGTCTAGACTCAGCCCCCCAAAGTTTCCCCCGCAAAATGGACCTGTCTAGCCCCAGCTGGTACAGACCAGTCCTCCACAAAAAATGGGCCAGTCCAGCCTAGGCACCCCTGTACCTGCTCCATATAGGCCTGTTCACTCCTGTACCACCTTCCCTTAGCTCCAAATGTGCCTATCTTTGCCTCCCCCCCCGCCAATGAGGTCACCCAGCCCTCCCCATCTCCCTGCCCCAAATGGGCCAGGTCCAGCCCCCCGCCCCATACCGGCCTGGCTGCTGCTCTCCTCATCCGACTCCTGCTCGTACTCTGAGGTGCTGGCCTCCAAGGAGCTCTCTGAGGCATCTGGCTCAAAGTCTGAGGCGTAGGCCCCCGCATATTTCTCCAGCAGTTCCTCCACGGGCAGCTCACCTGGCACCAAGACCCGGGGACATATGTCAGGGGGCACCAAGACACCTTCACCCATCAGCTCCTCCCGCCCCAGGAAGAGCCACTGCAAGTACTGTATTGTCCCATATACCACACCCCCACGCTGCTTAGTTTAGGGAAGGCAGACTGAAGATTTCACTCCAGATATGTGGCAGTGTCTGATGCCCCCAGAACCAGGGAAAGGGATCAGAAGGGCCCTACGCAGGGCATCATGTCCCTCTGGATCTGTACCGTAGCCGGCATGGAAAAGGCCAGGCCGCGGGTTGCATCCGAGGGGTTGCTCTGAGCACCAGCTACCAAATCCCAGCCTATGGGGAAAGGCGAGGACCTGTTTGAGTGCTCCCTGCCCTAAAAAATGAACCATCAGGGTAACCCAGGCCTTGGCACCTCATGGCAGGGCCCTTTAGAGGTTGTATCTCCTGGCTGCTCCAGTGTTATATGTAGCTGTTGTCTCTTCCTTTCCTCCGTCCCAGAGCTGGCTGCATCTAAGCCCTCCGTTGACGGCATTATATGTAGCTGTTCTTCCTCCTTTCTGCTTCCTCCAAAGCTGCCCACACCCGAACACTGCCTTGACAACATTATATGTAGATGCTCCCCTTCTTTTCTGCTACACCCCAGAGCTGGCTGCATGTGAGGCATCCCTCAACAGCATTATATGTGGCTGTTCCCTCTCCCTACTGTTCCATCTCAGAGCTGGCTGCATGCGAGCCTTCCCTGGGCAGCTCGAGGCAGAACTGTCCCCAACCAAACCAGCCCGGATGCAGCCTCGTCTGATCTGGTCCTAAAGAGATGCAACAGTCCTGTGGCAAAACTACAAGGTGCAAAGACCTTGCGGGGTGAGGAGGGGAAAATGATGGAGATATTCCCACAATGCCTCACCCCTCATAGCTAGAACCATAGCCTGTTTACGGTGGAGGAGCAAATAATGGCAGGCATGCTCATAATCCTTCACTTCTCACAAATCATGGCAGACGTTCCCATGCTGCCTTACTCCTCGCAGCTAAAAACCTAGTATGTGTACGTATGGGTGGAAAAAATTGTTCCAGTCATTCCTCACAGCATGCCTGTGTGAGGGAAAACCAAAGCAGGCTCCTCAATTAGCATGTGCGTGTATTGGAAAATAGAGGCAAACATTCCCACAATGCCTTGCTTTTCACAGCTAAAGCTAGTGTGTATTTGGGATGGGGGAACCATCACCATCTTTCCCACAATGACTTGCTGCAGCAGAGAAACATTGGAGACAAGGTGACCCATATCCCTCAAGCACCCGCAGCCCTACCGTGCCCACCCCCATGGTACCTTCCCGTGCCAGGTCATCCAGCTCCTGCTTGTGATCCACGCTCCCTTCCAGCTCCTCCTCAGCATCAATCGTCTCCTCCTCGTCCTCAGCTGCAGGGATGGGAAGAGGGGTCTGTTACTACATGGACAGTCAGGGTCTGCCCTCGCCACCCCTCTGCTGAGCTGTCCTGCTCTCACCTTCATCCTCGTTGGCCGTGAACTCCTCGTCTGGCTTCCACGGCTTCTTGTTCCTGTGGATCATGGGCTTCGGCTTTTCCTGCCAGAGACATGAACAAAAAAGAGTTCAGGGTTGGCGTGCCTTGTTCCACTCAACTGTTCCCTACCTGCTCCACCTCAGAGCTGGCTGTATCGCGGCTCCTGGCTCAACACAGGGTAGGGGCAGGTGCCCGTCTCGTTCAGGAGACCTGGATTTGCACCTGACTCAGAGGCACTGGCTCGGAGATGAGGCCAGGGCACTGAGGTCTTGCGGGGTTGACAGCAGGGACACCTGGGTTCTCTGGCATGAGAGTGAGGTCTCATGGGTGAAAGCAGGCGGGGCAGGAGCCCAGACACCTGGGCTGTCTGGGAGGGGAGCAAAGTCTTGGGGGTGAGAATGGGGTGGGAGTGGGGGTTAGGAAGCAGGACACCTGGGTTCTCTCCTATGCCTTAGATGGTGGGGACCCTGTGGGGTTAGAGACATAGGGGCCCAGGCAACAGCAGGAGGTAGGCACTGGGACAGGTGACTATCCTCTCTAGGGCAGCTACAGGGCCCCTTGCTGGTCCTCATTCCACTGGGCCATTCCCCATCTGCTCCATCCCAGAGCTGACTGCATTGTAGTTCCCAGCTCTGCCCAAAGCCTCAAGCCACTGCAAGGCTCCAAGGTGGGGGAGGAGGTGCTCCCTACCATCTCTTCCTCCTCCTCTTCCTCATTCGTATCCCCCTGGGCCTCATCCTCATCTGTGTCCCCGTCGTCGGCACTGGAGCTGGAGGCTGAGGGGCCAGGACTGCAGGAGTTCTCCAGTATCTGGGGGGGCAGGGACTGAAGCAGCTCCTCCAGGGGCAGCTCGCCTTCTTGCTTGAGCAGCTCTATTTCCCGCCGCCGTGTCTCTGAGTCGTTGCCTTCCTGCTGCTCCTCCACCTCGATCGTCTCCTCATCATCTGACTCCTCGTGGGGCTGGAAGTCGCCATCTAGGGGGAGCCAGGAGCTGAGCTGAGGGGGGCTGGAAGTGTGGCAGGGGCCTGTGCCCTGTAGGGGGCGCCACGCCAGGGCTTCCCTTGTGCCTTGTTCCACTTGCCCATCCCCTGTTGGCTTTGCCCAAGCTGGCTGCATCATGGCACCCGTGTAAACAAGGGGCCCTGGCTGGCTCAGGGGGAGGGGGCTAGGGACAGTTCAGGATCCCCCACCTTCATCCTCAGGGAGGCGGGCAGGGGGCAGGGGGCTTGAGGCAGCCGAGCCAGCGCGGGATGAGCCTGGGTGGGAAGATGAGCTGGCCTTGCTGGCTACAGGCAGGGTCTCATTGAGGCTCTGGCTCAGTAGGTCCGAGTACTTCTCCGTCTGGCCCACGATGAAGTCCAGCTGCAGGTCCAGCGCCTTCTTGCGCTTCTCCTCCAGGCGCGACTGCTGCTTGAACTGCACCACCTGGGGGTGGAGGGTTGTGGTTAGTCATTGGGGGCACTCAGCACTGCCCGTTTCCTTCCTTGGTGCATTTCAGAGTGGCCAGGAAGACCCCACACCCTGATCAGAGCAACCACAGGGCTGGGCGTGAAGACCCCAGAGCCACTTGAAGGCCACAGGACCTGGGCATGAGGGTCCCACAGCCCAATCAAAGCTGGTTTAGCGCTGTGCAGCCAGGTATGAGATCAGAACCACCATGGGGGCTGGCATAAAGGCCCCACACCCCAAACAGATTCCATATTGGGCTGCGGGGTCAGGCACGAGAGGCCCACACCCCAATCAGAGCAGCCATGAGGGCATGGGGCCAGGCATAAGGGCAGCTGGGAGAACCCCCACAATCCCAGTCAGAGCAGCCGCAAGGCTGGGGGGGGCCAGGCATGAAGACCCCAGGCCCTGATCAGAGCAGCCACAAAGCCACTCCACCCTCACTAGAGGCCCCACCCACCTTCTCCACATTTGTCCAGAACTGCTTGACCTCCTTGGCGATGGAGGAGGCGATGCGCCGCAGCTTGGCCTGCTCCTCCCGCCGGGCCCGCTCCTCCTTCTGCCTCTGCTCCTCGTGGTGCCGGATCACCATCCGCACCACCTGCCAGGGGAAGGGGGACAGGGAAAGGCATGGGGCTGGGAAGGTGCTAGCCACAAGCAGGGATGGCAGCCAGACCTGTGAGCAACTCCCAGTCTCATTAACCAGAAAAAGCTCTTTGCTTCCTCTTGTTTCTTGATTACCGAAAATACTGTAATTTCTTGCCCCATTCCCCCAAACAGTAGCTAAAAATTGGAGAATATAAAAAATATGGCAGCAGCAGTTTCTAACACTTGTTTTTGAAAGGCAAAATAAATAAATAAAAAAAATACTTCCAGCATCACTGCTGACTAGGTGCCACAATGCAAGTCTTCTAAGGAGTGAAGAGAGTCTAGAAAATACAGTACCAAGAAGTTCCTGGTGCCAGGTACCTCACCCAGACCGTTTCCTTAAAAGCCATGCTGCCTGGACACACTGTCCCCAGAAAGACTCGCCCTATGTCGCATGAAATCTGGAAGCCTCTAGTTTTCTCTTGCAAATCACGTGCACAACTAAGTGCTCACACAGCCCCTTGAGAGTGTTTCACAGCACCCCAGGGTGCTGTGGTGCCCCAGCTGAGAATAACCAGGCTGTAAAGACCAGTGGGGAGACCAGGCTGAGAGACTTGGGCTCACAGAGGCTGATTTCAGGCACTGGGAAATACTCCGACAGCATCTATGGCTGCCCAGCACTACCCATGCTCATAGAAAATTATAGAATCATAAAAAAATCAGGGTGGGAAGGGACCGTAGGAGATCATCCAGTCCAACACCCTGCTCAAAGCAGGACCAGCCCCAACTAGATCATCACAGCCAAGGCTCTGTCTAGCTGGGTCTTCAAAACCTCCAAGGATGGAGCTTCCACCACCTCTCTGGGTAACCTGTTCCAGTGCTTTCCTACCCTCCGAGTGAGAAAGTTTTTTCTTATATCAAATCTAAACTTCCTTTGCTGCAACTTGAGGCTGTTGCTCCTCGTTCTGTCACCTGCCACCACTGAGAACAATTTAGTTCCATCTTCTCTGAAACCACCCTTCACAGAGATGAAGGCTGCTATTAAATCCCCCCTCAGTCTTCTCTCATTCAGACTAAATCAGCCCAGTTCCCTCAGCCTGTCCTCATAAATCGTATGTCCTAGCCCCCGAATCATTTTCACTGCCATCTGCTGGACTCCAATTTCTCCACATCCTTTCTGTGGTGGGGGATCCAAAACTGGACACAGGACTCCAGATGTGGCCTCACCAGCGCCCAACATAGGAGAAGAATCACTTCCCTCAATCTGCTGGCAACACTGCTACTCATGCAACCCAGGAGGCGACAAGAGCACACTGTTGGTTCCCTGTTTGGAAGTACAAAGGAGGCCATGGCTAGCTAGGGATGCGTCTTCTGTTCTCTCTGGCCTCACCTGGGTCTGGGAACACTTTATAGCAAAGCTGCTCTGATTGCCTCTGGAGTGGAACCCTGGTAGAGACACCCCTAAGCAGCCAAAATTATGCACCAAAGCATACGCAAAGTAATATTGTATTTCCTCATATACCATACACACCATTCCCTAACATCAACCTTGTAAAAGCAAGCTGGGTGTCTTAAATGGAGGAGCTACCTCTCTGCTGCAGAAGTCAGGCAGCACTGAAGAATTCAAAAGAATTTCACAGCTTATGTTCCATTCAAATCCTGCCAATTGCTAATGATTCTTTTTCTTGCTAAAGTTTCTGCTAATCAAACTATTCTTTCAGCGGTTTAGTTGAAAGATTGGCAATTTAGCTGCTTGTGGTGTTTCTTCTTTTACTTTATAGCCCTTCAGATTGTTTCTCTTTCCAAATCCTAGTTTTGCCCATGAAGTGAAACATTCAGCAGCAGCTAAGGTTTCAGCTTTTGGCTGACCAATTCTGCTGGCAAACTATTAAAAATAACCTTAGCCTGAGCAGTTGAAGGAGAACAGACTAAAGATATGGTTCCATACATGACTTAACTCTAGGAATTTTTTCTTCCTTCAGTCTTTCCCAAAACACCTGGGGGGGAGGGGGGGGGGTCTTACTAGGAAAGCTATGGTATGCAAGGAATTACAGTAAATCCTTTTGTCTGGGTTCATGGCTGCACTGAACTCAACCCAGGGGTGTGGAGCTGCTACCCATCTGAACAAGCAGGCCAAAAACAAGGGGCATGATTTATTTAGGGCTGTGTAGCATATAAGAAACATGGTAACGTTACAACGAAGGTTTCAGCTTCTGGCTGAACACTTCCATTAACAAAAGATTAAAAATGATGTCCAGGGGATAGTACTTTCTCCAATGACCATGCCTCCCCTGCCTTTCTGAAATGCAGAGTGGCCAAGCTGGCCGGAGCTCACCTTCCTGGCCACGCCCCTCTTCCAACGACGCTCCTGGGCAAAGTCGGCCGAGAGCCACTGCATCTCCTCGCACAGGTAGTCCCAGTGCACCTTGGGCCGGGCTGGCTCAGGCACCTTGGAGAGGCGCCTGAGGGACCAGAAGCCTTCCTTCTTCATTTCTGCGATGCGGTTCTCGATCTCCGCCTCCTGCAAGGCCACGCCAGGTCAGGGGGAGGTTGGGTTGGGTCTTTGGTGTATGGCGCCGAGTCCAGCTCTGTCTGAACCAGCCCTGAGAGGTGTTATGTGGCCAGTCCCACCCAGAGCTGGCTGCATCTGAGCCCTGTTGGTAGGGCTGAACAAACTTGCTCACATGAGTCCCAGACCCAACACATCCAACCCCAGCAGGAAGTCAAGGCCCCTACCAATGCAAGGGACGGGTTTAAAATTGTCCCAGAAACCCATGGATGAGGTCCATACTCCCCTCCTCCACAACTGCAGTTGGAGGTGAAACCCCCACAGATCTGACCAGAGGCATAGATTCCTTCCTGACCCCTGATCCAGAGACTGGGCTGACCCTGAGGGGACAAGCAAGGTCCTCTGGGTTTGTGAAGTGCCAGCAGGAAGGTACTGACCCACTTTTCCCCTTATAGACCAGACCCAGAGATTCAGCTCTGAGACACGGGCCTGTCAACCAGCAACCTGGCAGTGAGACATGATCCCGTGCCCCGCTACAGCTGTACATATCACCCCCTGCCTGAAAAGCCGGGCCCCCTGTATCACCCAATGACCCCATGGTAAGCCCTGCCCCCAATGGCACACCTGAGGACCTCTCTACTCTCCTTCATGTGGCCAGAGGTTCGAACTCCGGCCCCCACCTCCACCCCTTGAGCGTGCTATATGCAGCAGCTCCCCATACAGGCTGAGCAACCTGTTCCTTAACCCAGAGGGACTGCAGTCATACATGAGTATGGAGCAGATGGGGGCAGAAAGGGACTGGGGGTAGAACCAAGGAGGAGGTGGGCAGCGCAGACCCAGTGAGGGGCAGGGGGGGGGACTGGGCAACAGACCCAAGGAGCGTGCAGCTGGGCGGAGTCCTTACATGCTTGGCCTGCTCGGCGATCTCGGCATGGGTCTTGTCCCACATGCTGCCCGGGTCGGCAGTGCAGGGCCCGGGTGCCGCCAGGCCGCGGCCTGGCGCCTTGGGCACATCGAAGCCCAGGGCCGCCTCCAGAGGGGCGTCGCGGGCTAGGTGGGGTGGTGACACGCTGCCGCTTGAGGCCGGGGAGCCCGACGAGGCCGGTGACACCGGGTTGCTCCCCGTCATTCTGTCTGGCGCCGTCTGGAGGTGGGAGGGCAAGGTCATGACAGGTCATAGGCGCACCCCTCTACAACCTGACTCTAGAAACCCTTTGCCCCGATGCAACTAATTCTGGGGTGAAACAGTCATGGGTCCTGTTTGGCTAGAAGCTGACTATAAAAATAGAACTGCTTCCAGGGTGGGGCCTGGGTTCACTGCTGGGTTCTGAAAGGGAACACACCTGTGACCTCAACCTGGGTGCTAAGGTCACCCGTGCTCTTGCACCTATGGGGAAGGGGACGGGTTTTGACCGCTCAGATCAAGGGACCTTGGAGCCAGGACACCTGGGTTTTCCCTCAGCTCTGTGAGGGGAGTGGGGTTTCGTGGGTTCAGGAGGCGATGGGGATGGGGGG